CTTAAGATGCTGTCAGTTAGTTATTTTCTTTCTTTCTTATTAGTTTGTTTCTAGGGAGTGCCGCCAGGGGCATACTTGTAATTTCCATTCTTTTTTTTATAAAGTTAATATAAATAATGAACTGGCGGCAGCCAGGAGAAGGTTTTTCTTTTTCTCTCAATCATATCTTCCTCTTATTCTCTTTCTCTCTCTCGTCTCTCTCTCTCCATGAATGATTACAATAGTAAATAGTGGTGAGGGCGGGCCTTGGTGCAACAGTTGGGTTGCTCCATTGCGACCTGGGTGACCTGGGTTCAAATCTTGGAAACAGCCTTTCTGTATGTTCAGGAGTAAGGCTGCATACATCTCTCCCTCCCCGGACCCCGCATTGGTGGGGGCCTCATGCACTGGGCTTCCCTTTAATAGTAAATAGTACTACTGGTAGGGACCTGATTAGCAACATTCACTTTATATATGATGCTGAAGATTGCGAAGAAATTTCTGAAATTGCTCTAAACTTTCACAAAATACCATTGACTACCAAAAGGGTGATATAGGGTTAGTATGGTGTGTAAGTTTGGGCTCTAACAGATTAGGGTTTAAGAGCTTCATTCATTGGGTGTTCAACAATAAAGTAGGGAATTTAAAGAGCTGGAACAATTAGGGTTGGATTTAAGGTTCTTCTGAAGAATCCTATGGTTTACTTTCTTTAGTAAGCCATTTATGTTCAGGAAATTAGGGTTTGTGTGGATGATTCTCTAGGATTCTACCGTGTCTAAACATTCTATAACATTTTTCCCCTCCTTTGGAGCTCTAAAATCACCAGATAGCTATTGCTTTCATGATTTTGTCTAATCCATACTTGAATGATGTAGGCATTGCTCTCTGTCACAATCTCTATTATTTTTGTTTTCCCTTTTAGGGCTCTAAAAGTCCACAGACAGCTATTGCTTTCATGATTTTCTCTAATCCATTTTTAAAATCTCAAACTGGAAACAATATGCCAACCACTGCTGGCACTGGTATATATATATAACTAAAACTTAAAAAAACACTAAGGAAAAGGGGGGAGTATCGTTCAAAGTGTTGGTACACCTCTGCCGATACACAGAGGTGTATCGATACTTTGAACAGTTTAAATTAGCTCTCCTCAGAAAATGGTTCTGGAGACAACTCATATTGAGCAAATATGGTTCCAGTAATATGGAGTGGGATCCTGGTGAACTAAATTCCTCTTATGTCTGCAGTGTGGAAGGGAGTACAGGAGGGCTATGGTCAATTTCAGAAGGGGTTAGGTACCAGGTTAGTAGTAGTAACAAGGTGAGATTTTGGCAGGTGGGGGAACATTGTTTAAACATAAGCTTTCCTACCCTTTTTGCAGTAGCTTGCATCAGGGATGCGAAAGTGGTGGATTGCTACAAGATTCACTGGCGTAGTATCCTGGTGCCCTAAGTTCAGAAGAAGTGCCAACCTTTGGAGATTCAGTCATTCATGGAGCTCCTACAGCTGGCTCGTTTAGCCAGATCCCAACCTGAGACAGCAGGCATTTGGAGGTGGGCCACGGAGAGTTTGGGGACCTTTCCTGTTAGGTTATGTTGAGAAATTTGGAACCTGTGGATTTTGTTTCCTTCCTCACCAGCACAGTTTGGAAGGCAGGGTTTCCAGTGGCCTTTTTGCTATGGACAACTGCCTTGAACAAATACATAACAGAGGATAACCTTTGCAAGAGGTATAGGGTTTTATATATATTTGATAAGTGGGTTACCTATAATATTTGTGTGCCGTGTAGTTCACAGCCAGAGTAGGGGTGATCATGGGCTCGGCTTAGCACCTATGATAAGGCTTGGGCCTGGCCCAGCCCAGATCATGGGCCTGAATGCCTGGGCCCAGGCCTGTTACATCATGGATTTGACCATTGACCTATTGATCCAGATGGAAAATTGTTCAACCTCTGGGCTAGGTTTTAAAACACTGCCTCTTCCCTGAGGATAGCAATGGGATTAAAAAGTTGCAAAAGTTCTTTTTTTTTAATGTAAATATGTTCATACGGGGAATACAGAAGAGAATAATATACCATTTCTCTCCTGATTGCCGTATGCAATTCATTGCCTATATTGTCTATGTATGCCATCTCCACTGAACTTGTAAGTATTACTCACATCAAACATGTCATTTTGCATTCATTTTGTTGTTACTTAGTACCTAATTTGGTTCAAGAGTTGTTCAAATGTGTTTCCCTGAGCTTTGTTTTGCACAAAAATGGCAAAGTCCCAAGCTTAATTCAAATTTCCATTCGATTGGTATGTTAGTCTTCAGATGTAGGCCGAACCACTGAAGAGATTTTGGTTCATGCATTGCTTAAATGTTAGGTTAAAATGTAATGGTCAGAACTGGAAATTTAAAATAATGGATGCTAAATGGGTTTAACATCTTGTACAGGTTGAAGATGACTTGGAAAAAGGTGCTGTTGGTGCTGTGCCTATTCCCCCTGATGATGCAGGGAAGGAGGAGGTGATTACATCTTTGGTTGCTAATGTGGAGGCAATGATTAAGGCTGACAGGAAAGTTACTGCCCTGAAGCAACTTCAGGTAAAGTAACTACAATTTGAGCAAACCAGTCCGAAGGGCTTCTTAGAATCTTGATTTTATTTTCACATAATTTGTCTGCAGGGTCATATATGGCGTACTGGATATCAAAATAATGAACTGAAGGGAATAGTTTTTGATGATGTACCAGAGGCTCTTGAAAAGTGGCATGCTTTGGGCATCAAGGTTGTCACATTTTCACTAAATCCTTTTTCGTTGATTCAGTTGCATTTATCTTCATAAACAAGGAACTGAAATGATGATATTAGGATGCTGAAATACTAGGAAGTTATAACTTTTACATATGAATGATATTCATGACTTGAAATGAATAAATACTGTTATTATATCATTTTATATGGATCATCATTAACTATTTCAACTTTTATTGTCCTTATTTCAACATGGGATGTTATCTTTGTGGGGTGCAGCTTAGGTGGGCTTGGGTTGGGCTTTTGTCAAAATTTGAATGGGCCAGGCCTGAAGGCTCGAACCTGAAGCAATGTAAAACGCTAACTTGGTCAACCCAAGTTGCACCTCTACATTTTTGACTTCCCATTTGCAATGCTGTGTTACTATTTCTTTGCTAGAAAGGTGAAAACTCTGCTAGCTTGCTTTATTTGATTCCATATGCAACAGTTTTCCAGCCTTGCCTACAAACATGAATTGTCAATATTGAACTTTGTCTATCAATAGATTCCTTTGTTCTCCCAGGAATGTTCTGTGCATTACCTTGTTTCTATATGGTCATTCTTTGGATAATACTTGTCTTGAGGGTAGCGGTGCAAGTTGGGTACCCGATCTGAAGGAATTTGTGCATTCAAATTTTAATAAGTGCTTGTATGGAAGGAATGAAGCACAACTGCTTCTAGCTTTCTTTGGTGAGCCCCTCATGGGCAGCCTATAAGCTATGTTTGGTAAACAATTGGGAGAGACCAACTTGGCTGTCCGCTTTAACCTCTTTAAATAGCTTATCTGGAGTACTTCAAAGCATCTTGAGCCTAGCTGATTTCAGCTCAGCCCTCCCAAATGGGCCATAAATTTCAAACCCAGGTCGACCCAAGTTGCAACCCTACTTGAGGGTTTGACCCTCTTAGTCCAGTACTATATTCACATCTATGGGGTGAGGAACAGACCACCATTAGCCTTATTTTTACTCGTATTTGTCCACAGGTATGACAGGAGGTACAGTTTAAGCTGTTAGTTCAGATTTAAATGTTGATTTCTTCTCCTTTTCAATTTACTCAGTTTTCTAAAAGTAGTATTTCTACTGACCTGGTGCTAATATTTCTAATATAAGCCTTTTCTTCAGACTGATGTTTTCTATAGTTTGATGATTGTGTGAAATTTGGAGCAAAAAGTTAGATGAATGACATTCACTGAAAACTTTAAACTTTTATTCTGTTAATTTATATAGGTTAAATATACTTTTATTCTGCTGATTTATTACCTCTACTGTTGCTCTTCCTTCAGGTGTACATATATTCTAGTGGCAGTAGAGAGGCTCAAAGACTTATTTTTGGCAATTCAAATTACGGGGACTTGAGAAAATATTTATGTGGATATTTTGATACCACAATAGGGTTGGTTTGCTTAATGCATTTATCAGTTTTAGGTGCTTGTCTGATACTTTGGACTTTGATTCAATGTAACTGGTTTATCCTTTACTTTTCTGTGCAGAAACAAAAGAGAAGCACGGAGTTACTTTGAGATTTCCCAGTCGGTGGGAGTAGACAAGCCCTCTGAGATCTTATTTGTAACAGATGTTTATCAGGAAGCAGTGGCCGCGAAGGCAACAGGTAATGTGTTACTGGTGGCTTTCATTGTGTATCAATTATTGTCGTGTTATATAGTAGGTTAATTTTCAGACTTCAAAATGTTGAATTTACTCTCATTTTGGAAATTTTGGAAATTTTGGAAATTATATATATATATATATATATATAGAGAGAGAGAGAGAGAGAGAGAGAGAGAGAGAGAGAGAGAGAGATGGTTCTTTTTAATTTCCAAAATGAGAGTAAATTCAACATTTTGAAGTCTGAAAATTAACCTACATTATATATATATATATATATATATATACATGTATATGTATCATTTCATCTTAAATTAAGATTGTCACAACAGTTGTTTTGCATCTGAACTAGATGATCTTATGTGCATTAGAGTCATTTGTCAGAAATGAGCTAGTTGCATTTTTTATAAAATTCGGGGGGGGGGGTGTGGAGGAGATGGTCTTTGTCTTTTCATTCAGATTTTTCCATTTGCTAATATTTGGCTACCATTCCATGTTTCAGGTTTGGAAGTGATAATTTCCATCCGGCCAGGAAATGGACCTCTTCCGGAGAATCATGGGTTTAGAACAGTTGGGTCCTTCTTGGAAATCTGAGACCATGTATGATCTTTTGTAATATAGTTGATTGGTTATTTCTAGACAACAGGAAAATATATACAGACAGAAAGAACTCTGATTATCAATAAAATGGGTTTTACTGTTGGAGATTAAGAAGGGAATTTGGGTTGTAAAAAGCTTTCGCATCCTGATGGAAATTCATCGGTACTTTTTCTTCAGAAAACGTATGCTACATACTTTAAGGATTGATCTTGATTGCAATTCACAATAAATGGGTTTTACTGTGAGAAAGTAATATCTTATTTACACTGAAAATTATGCTACATATTGTCACTATGTAGGGTCTGCTTGTTAAAATTCAGTGTGGATGAAGAACAATAAGCTTACTTTAGAGAAAAGGCTGAATATTTATTACATCTTCACACTCAAAACAACGGATTTACAGACTATTCAAGGATTAAAAAAGCACCCTTGGGGCATCAAATCCCGAATAACCTGCAAAAAAGAGAGGAAAAAAAAAAAAGAAGAAAGGGCCAAGGCACCTTCAAACATTCTTACAATATTAATCCTCCATTCCTCCTTTATGCACGCCAAACGGCCAAAGGAGAAAAACTAGTAGTCAAATAATATCTAATTATCTATTAGTTTGTAACAGACCTCTTGACGCTACTTTTATTACTGCTTAAACATCATTCCTCCTGGAGCTTTTCTTTAATATTTGAGTCATTGAATCAGCAAGGGACATGGCTGGGTTCGCTCTGATAAATTTGTTGAACCTTTGGCAGATTTTCATGTGTGCATATAGAGCTTCTTCATGTATAAAATGGTGTGCTTGGCCAATTCTTTGAGACTCCTCTCTAACAGCCTCTGAGCACAGGCCGCATACCCACCTTCCACAGAACCGGTCCCTAACTTGCCGGATGTAGCCACGGGTGCAGTCTTCAAAGAGGCCGCAGCACTCGCACTCGACCTCTCTCACATCGTTACCGGTAATGGCGGACTGAGAGGGGATCCTGAGGTCCATGTACTTGGATATACCCATTTCAGAAGACATGTCTGAGACCGCCTTCTGGATCAAGTCCAAGGACAGCCTCCTTGCCCTGGTTCTTGACGCCATGGTTAGTAGCTGACTAGCTGCTGTTTGGTGAGTTTGTGGGCTGGTTTTATAGGAAAGATATTTGAATCTAGGACTGTCTGCTCCACTCGTTGATGTCTTTTATTGTCGAAAATTGCTTACAAGATCGTCACAACTCACAAGAAAGAAATGAATGACATTATGAGTACTGTTGTATTGATAACTACTCATTCCTCTTGAAAATAGACCATTTCAATTAATAGTACTGCTCAAGAGGAGCATTTTAAGGTGGAAAGAGCGTATAAGTGAATAGTTAATAAGATAAGGAGATTTTGAGAAAGCCATTGCATAGTTGGGAGTGGAGGCTCGGATCAATGTCGACATGGGTAGAGCATGAAACTAAGGGTTCAGAGTGTTTTAGGCCTCAAGCTTAAGCTTGTGCCTTGTGGTTGTGAAAGAATGAAAGGAAAAAAGTGGTATTTTAATGGTAGTTCGTAGTCTGTAAATGACAGGACTGAAACATCAACTGGTTTGGTTGTTCACGGGGTGGGTTTTGCTTGCCATACATCTTTATTATCACTTATCAGAGCGTGAATGGAGTTGAAGTTGGAGATTTTTTCTCTCTGTGGAAGGTGTGCTTGGAACTTGTGTGAATGTCACTAAGATTGAGACAGTCTCTCTCTCTCTCTCTCAGAGTCAGATATGAGGACTTTATGCTACTACGACCTTTTAGTTGAAATCATTCTTAAATTAGTTATTAATCCTTGAACTCAATAACACACAGACCTGGCAAAAAGTCGACCCAATTTGTGAATCTGAACTGACCCAACATGAAAAGTGGGTCAAGGTCTCCTATGTGGCAGCCTAAATTAGAAGGCGGTCTGACCGGGCCTGACCCAAAAAGATTTCAGATTGGTCACAGGTTACCAATTTTCAAGCCAATGTTTTCAAACTGGTGTTGTCTTGGATGGTTAAACTGTTCAAACTGTTGGCTTGATAAAAAACCATTGATCTAGGTGGTTGAAATATTGGCCCATCTGACCGATGGGTCAACCCTAATCTATATATTTAGGGTTAGGGTCTAGCCTTTACTGGCCCAATGTCGAAGCTGACCTGATCCTAAATGACACCAAAAATGCCTCGACCGGTTCAAACCCATCCTGACCCTATTGCCAGGTCTAATCATTCTGATATATAGATACATACTCTGAACTTGAACCTTGGACGATTGCTTCATAGCTGGTGGGTAATCTCATCAGGTGGGATGAAAGCACAACTGATTTCTGTTCTTTTCTTTTATGTCGACAGGAGGCCAAGAATTCTTGTTATCAGATAGGAAGAAGGATGATCTACTTTATCAATGTGAGGTTAAATTACATTTTGGTTGCTGTGAAAGATGAGTAAGCCAATTCCTTGTTATGCAGGCAGAGGTCATTTGTGATTGATGGGGTTTCATGGACAGGAACAGTAAGAAATGGATCTGATTATATCAGTATGAAGCAAGCAATTGAGTCTCCTTATTTTTCAAGGACAAATTTACCCCTTGATAACTATTGAGAAAAATGCTAAGCATAATAATAAGCATTGTTCTACTAGTGATTATTCTCAGCATATAACTCTTTTAACTAAATTAGTAGCAAAAAAAAAGCACTCTTTTAGCTAAATAATTCCTAAAATCTCATATTATTTATTAGTATAAAGTATGGGTTCTATTATGTCGGAAAGAAATGATATCTGAAAAACTAACAATCAATCAATTGGAATTATAAATTTGGTAGCCAATTGGGTGTTATTTATCAAAATTCATGGGTGCATTTTAATTGGTCAAAACTCTTTCAATACCATATCTTTCTCATATCATAGATTTTCCTAGTATAAATTGATTCCCATCATACTTATCACTTCAACTCATAATCCACATTGATTTTCAAGAAAGGGGGAAGAATGGATTTTACCAAAATAGAATGATGATAATAACAATAACTGGTGAGGATGACGATAATAATTAATAACATTAATAACATCAGAATTTTAATTTTTTCCTTCGAAGTAGTGTATGGGCCCATCATACAAGGTTTAAAAATATAAATATAGAAGGTTTTGTACTGTTATTTTTTGTGTTTGTACTTTTTACCAAATTAAGGCTCCATTTGAAAGGAGTACAATATGTAGAGTGCAAAATCTTACATTTTGTATTATTTTATATATATTTGTACAGTATATATTTGTGTTTGTACTCCTTCCAAACTGAGCCTAAGGTTCAATTTGATAAGAGTGCAAATATGTACAGTACATATTTGTGTTTGCAGTACTGTACATATTTGGTGTATCAAGGTGCTGTTTGGTTCACATGAATAGGGTCTGGAATCAGAATCGGAATGGCCATTCCCTGTCCTCCCTTGGGAGTGAAATTCCCATTCCTGCTGATTTTAATTTCTATTCCCATTTCTGTCTGAACCAAACAGACCAAGGGAATAGATCATTCGGATTACGATTCCTAATCCGACTACAAAGCAAACGGACCCTAAATGCTATTTACCCTTATATTTATTTTTACGATACAGCATTAAACCATTACCCCATAGGGTCGCGTATAACCCGTTTACACCCCTCAGTAAACACATGAATGCAATAGGCTTCAGTAGAGCATGGAATGATGGAATTCAACATCAACTACCAACAAGGAGTTTCTGCAGTAAAACACAAAAACCTGGCTGTTGAAGTCTTGAAGAAACTGATTGATCAAAAGAAAAAAGAAAAGAAATTGCAGCAGCAGATTTATTAATCAGACAAACAAAACAAAAACATCATTGACCCAAGAAATCAATGAGAAGATCTTCCTAACACTAGCCCAAGTGTGGTGCAATTACAGCTCTACAAACACAGTCAGTAGTCTCACAGAGATGACAGACAGACATCCAAAAGGGTTCAGGCTGCCATGCACCCTATGCCATAGCGAGTGTTTGGGAAGACCAGAAACAGGCTACTGCATATCACACCCACCATTAGAGGGAAACTCTCCATCACCTCATCCATCTCCTTCACATGTCCCCGGAACAGACAATCCGTCACCCGATGATCAGAGAAGGCAATGGCCACGAAAACCATCACAGACATGATCGCATGCACGAAGTCTGTAAACCCAACCTTGAATCGGTCGTCCTTGGGGACCTCCACACCCAGTCCTGACTTGAACAGCGATAATCCACTTGGGGTCACAAACCCGTAGTAGACCTTCCCGTCCGGCCCTCTGAAACTGTCTGTAAAATGGAAGAAGAAACATGAGAGGACACAGAGGCCCATTAGGACCTCAATCATCATGGTGTTTACCGGAGAGCACTGGCCGTCACCGGAGACTGATGGCAGAAGCATTTCGAAAGTGAGAAGGGTCCCTGTAGGGAGGAAGTTGACAAGCATTGAGGTCTTGGACAGGGTCTTCTGCACTCCCTTCGCCACTGCTCGCTTTCGCCGGCCTGTCTCTGGGACCAACTGCGGAGATGAGGGGCGTGAGGGTGTCTCCTGCGGAGCCGCATCGTAGATTTTGATTCCAATTCCTTCTGCTTGTTCCATTTTCCGGCAAGATTCCAACTCGCCAAGAAAACTCAGAGGAATTGGAAGGTGGGGGGCGTAAAAGGAGTTTGTTTGATGGTTGCGTTCAGATTTTATAGACGGATTATTACCAATTTGAATTTCAATTTTGAAGTTGTGAAGTTCTGCAACTGCAGGAAACTAACTCGCCCATGTTTCGGGTTGATCTTGAATTATTAGGCAGGATACAGTTATCAGAGATGATCAGAAAAGGAGAAAATCTAGAAATTTTCATTATTTGTGCCTGGACAAACATTACTAGGAAACTGAACGTGGGAGAGTGAGCCTCATACAGGGCCGGTGAGGCTGTCATGATCCCTGAAAAACTAGAAATAAGCTCTCTAGAATCTCTACACATAATTACATAAAGAATCAGAAGCGATGACCAGAAAAGAGATTTGGATGAGAGTTCTCGCTGTTTTCTTCGAATGTCACCCACTTGGCCAAGCTCCCACGTCTCTCTCTGGCAGCATTTCTCATGCTCTCCATTTCACCCACATGATCTTTGAATTCCTTCTTCACCACGTCCAGTACAATGTCACCATATCTGTCACACCATGGCCTTACAAAACAAAAAATTTTACAGACAATAAGTATCTAAAAGAATCATAAAATTTGTGCAAAATCTAAACTAAAATAAAACCCATCTCAAATCTCAGCTATATAAATGTAATGTGTGTGCAAGTGAATGCAGATGTGCTCTTTCAGTCTGCATACAGTATCTTATCGATCAGAACTTGCAGAAGCTTCATGGGTTTGAAACATGGTCATGGATATTTATGAACAAATTGTTTTCGTCATTGCCTACTTAACAACTGAATATTTATGAACAAATTGTTCCAAAAGGGAATAGAATAAAGAAAAAGAGTGCTTACTTGGGGAAAAATTTTTTCAGGTCAGCTTTATCGACTGGCAGCCTGGTGGAAATTGCTTCAATTTGGTCATTCCTGTAGATCCATGAGGTTAACAGAGTGAATATTTTAAAAAACAAGCATTTCAGAGAGAAAAAGAGACATTAAAAAAAGTGGGTTTGGTGTTTACGAGAATTGTAGGTTTGGATTTGTGGTGTTGAGTTCTGTTTGGATTCGCGATAGCTCTTTCTTTATGTTCTGTCCCAATACCTTCATAGAGATTTACACCATTACTACAGTTAACTGCACTCCAGAAAATGGTTTTCATGATATTGGAAAAACGAGAAAAAAAAATAATTGATTTCTGCAATTCTCTACCTTATCGATGAAGAAATCTGATGCAGAACCATCTGGGTGTATCTTTTTCTTTATCAACTTCGTGTCTGGGCCCTCCCCAATTGGGCTATCAACAAGTGGGCAAGGAGTTGAAAAGGCATGGTGTTCGTCAGATCTTTCCCCCAGAGAAAGAGGAGTTGTTTCATCTTCTGGATTACTTCTCTTCCACTTCTTAAACCCATCAAATCCCCATTGCTTCTTTGCTGATTTTGATGCTCTCTCATCCGGATCTGGCTCCAAATCGTCCACATTTTCGTCTCTCTGAAACAGAGTACGAAACGTTTTCTTCTTCACCTTCTCAGTGCTTTCTCTTTCCTTCTCAACCTTAATGGGTAAACGTGACGAACTCTCTGGCATAAGAACGGATCTGGCTTCACTTCCCTTCTCTTTTGAAGGGAAATCCCAAAATGAGTTCTCTTTCAGAGCCCCAGAACCGTTCCCATTGGGATTCTTTCCCTTGCTTTTCCCGGATTTATGAGGAGTAATGAAACCAATCATGGAAGCAGCTTCTTTGATCGGTTTCATTGGGGACCTGTACTTGGTCTTGGTTGTAGATTGCAATCTGTCTTTATCCATCAAGCACTCCTCGTCCTTCAATTCGATAACAGACCACTCCTCTTCTGAATTTTCTGCCTGACTAGCAACAATTACGTCTCTAGCCTCAATCTCAGCTCCTTGAACGGCTAGTCTCTGTAGCAGAGGCCTCTTCGAAGAGTGATACTCGTCCATAGAAATGCATTTGGCGTAGAACAGCTCCTGAACAAGAACAAAAAACAGCAAGAGAATCAAAACTCATTTCACCCCACCAAATGTAGTAAATTTACCAGATACCAATTTTCATCTGTGGTCTTACCTGCAAGAAAAGCAGCTTGTCTCTGATGATTGTGGGGTGTTCCAGATCAGCTGGAGAAGCGATGAGAGTTTCAAGGAGTTGAGTTCGGAAGGCAGTGACCTCGCCTTGTGGTATGATCCCTTCCTTGTGGAGACCAATCAGGTTGAGAATCCGGTGAAACGATTCCTGCTGCCATTTGAGATTCTCCGATTGCTGCCTGGCGAGCCTCTGATCGGCAGTGAGACCCGTCAAGCGTTTCTTCTTCATGGAGAAGGGGAGAATGTTTTTGCAGAGAGAAGTAATCGTGTCGTGGACAGAGGAATAGTAAGTTGGGGTGTAGGAGTACATTGTGAATCCTAGATTGCTTTTCTTAGTTTGATGAATCGATTAAATCACAGGGGAGAAAAGATAGATTTTCGAGTTGCAGAGCTGCTCTGTCTTGGTTCTACAATTTTCTTCTCTGAAACGAAAAAACGCTTTCTATGCAGAGAGGCACTATAAAGAGGTCATCCATTTTTTTCGTTTTTCTTTTGTTTTTTGTTTTTTGTTTTGGTTTTTGAATAGTACCAGCAACGGTAACTTGAACTAGCCGTTGTAGGGCTTTCCGTTGAGCATCACTCGAGCGACACTCTACCATGCGTTAAAATGAAACCCCCTCTGCGGGCAATTACGAAAATAGCCATAATCCATGTGCTGTGCGCGCTGTGCGGTGCATCAAATGATCAAATCCAATTGGGTTATTGGGTCCAGTGATCATGGGGCGGACCGGGCCTGGACCGGACCCAGGGCTTAAAATATCAGCCGGGCCGGGCCAGGCTTTGGGGCTCTCATTACATTCATTATATTTAGATGTATAATATTTTATTTTTATACATAAAATATATGCATATTAGGTACTTATCTATGTATGTATGTATGTATGCACATACATATTAATATGTTATTAAATAAATAAACAGAAAACTTAATAGGGGTGCAACTCGGGTTGGCCTGAATTTACACTGTTTCGGGCCAGGCCTATTCAAATTTTCACAAAAACCCAATCGAAATCCATCCAATTTGCACCCCCAAAAAACCCAGGTTGAAGCCCAAAATTTCTGGAACGGGCTCATCCTTATCACCAATGGCCCTTGTGTTGTGTTGTGTTGTGGTTAGTCTTAGAGATCTTATCTGGTCCCTTGTAGATTAGGGTTAAGTTACTTGTTCCACCCTTCTACGTACTCTCATTCATATTTTTTAGGGACAAATTAAAATCCAGATTTCCTCCTCACAGAATGATTCTCACACCCATCTTACAGCATTTGTAATCTTGTATTGGAAACATCTCTCCATAAATGAAAACATACAATTATAGAAGATGTTCCTAATGTGTGGCTGCAAGCCTGCAATGTATTTTGTAAGGTGGGTGTGAGGGGGAAACCTAAACTCGACAAATTAATGTTCTAGTGAAAATGTGTTTAACAAAAATAAAATAAGATAAAATTTTGAAAATGGTAATAAGTTATTTGGCGTTCATAGATAATTACTTTCATAAATACCAAAATGTACATTTTTGAGGAGAAATAATATATTATTATTAAGGGTATTTTGATAAATGTACTTATTTCTGTCTTGATTCTCTCTCTTATTTTTTTTCTAATAAATCCCCAGTAAATTTTTGGTCGGAAGGGGGGGGGGGGGTAAAAGTGAACAAGTAAACTTGAGGAGAGGTCTTAGTGTTTGAATAAAATGTTAAGGGACGTATAAGTAATTTATCCTTACAAGTTACAACAGTTCAAGTGGGTGAAATGAAGGACTTTTACTTTTTGTCTTTGAGTGGATAAAATAATCATACAGTAAAAACATTTAGAGGGATAGAATCGACCTAAACTGTTTGACAATGGCTGAAGAGGCTGAATTGAATGACTTATTATTTATTTATTTGTCGGCAGGCTGAGAGAAGGCATCACTATCTGGCTATCATATCCACTAAAAGACAAAACAATAAGTAATTTAGGCAAGGTTCTATATTGTGGATATTCTGTGGATTGATTGGCTTTGAAGCACACCACACCATTAGGCATTTTTTAGTTTAATTCATAATTTCTTACTACAAAGAGCACACTCAAGTATAGATAAAAGTAAGTCATCAATCTATATGTATAGTGATAACTCAATATAATCTCATCACATTGTTCCAATGGATGTAGGTGGAACTTAGGCTGCGTTTGGAAACTATGCAAATAGAGTGTAAATTCAGGTTTAGAGTAAATTTGCACTCTGGTTCACTTTTGCTTATGTTTGACAACATTATATTTATGTATTGATAAATGATAGATCAATGCATATTTATATTGATAATAAGATGTAAAGGTTCAGTTTGGAAAGAGTACAAATACAAATATGTAGAGTACAAAATCTTATATTTTATATTATTTTGTATGCATTTACATTGTACATATTTGCGTCTGTACTCTTTCCAAATTAAGCCAAAAAGTACATCAATAAAAAAGAAGTAAATTTGCATCAAAGTGGGCTTTTGATAAAAAAATGCATATGCTTTATTGAAATTCATGTTTGCATCCATTACAGGTAAAAATCTGTTTGGTAAGAAGATAAATTTGTCAATACAAAACTAACCCAACTTTGCAATTTATATGAACTGTTTTACACTCTACATATTTGCATTCACACTTATTTACATAAATTTTAAACGCAGCCGTAAGGACTATTCCGATGTTTTCTAGGGATATACTGAATACTGACGCATTTGTAAAACTTTTGTTAACTCTCATGATCAGTATCTTGATTTATCTTTTCATGTTTAACAATGAATATGACATTGAATAGAACGGAATGGTGAAATAGTATTCATGTAACCGGCCCGGGACAAGATGGATGATAACGATGATGATGATGATGTTATATTGTTAATGTCTTCATTCTCCTCATTAAGAGAACAAGGATATCTTGACTTTAAGGGGGCAATAAATAATTTAGTCTATCCATTATCAAATACAACCCCTTTTTTTGGTAAACCACACAACCCCTTTCTCATTAGAAAACAAAACAATAAATCATAGAGGGCCTGGTTTTACTATATTGGCGTACTGTCCAATTTGTTTGAGCCTTCACCATTGAAGGTTCAAAATAGTCCCTTATCAAATGTGAACTGAACTTGCTCACTCAGGTGAGTGAGTGCAGGTTCTAATCCTCTATGCAAAAACCAATCCGGTGGATGAATTACAAATGATGACCAAACAGTCTTATTAGAACACTTAAACCAATTTTTCTAGCACACACACACACATGCATTAACCAGGTTGAGATGAGATCCATTGACATAGTGTTGGCAGTGTTGATAGCTTGTTGGCATAAGCGTTAAGAGGCCATTGAAAGTGGTTGATCTGATCTTGAGAAAGATTACATGGAGTTAAAAACTAGCCTTGTGATGAGCATGTTTGGCTACAAAGAAAGAGCTGTTGAGTGATGGCCTACAAGGGAATAAGTGAAGACAAGTAAAGGGATATTGTTTCATCTTTGTGATAGTGTGGTTGAATGGGTTCTCCACTTTAGAGAATCAAGGAAAGAATTTGACTGATCAGTCTAATCTTTACATGGAAAGTGGAAGGCATTGTTTCACATCAAACAAACAGTGATAGGTACAATCCTTCACCCCCTCTCCCCCCAATAATTCAGGTATGAGGAATAATCCCATGGGCCATGACAATTGTTTTAAGACTGTAGTAATGATGCAACTGCTGAAGACAACCCTATTAAGATTTGTGTGATTACTCAGCCTCTTCAACAACACAAAACATGAATGTACAAGATAAGAAAAGAGGAAAGGAACAAACTCATCTCTAACTATCAGATACATAGAATTTTTTTTTTTAAATCTTCTTTTTAGAACAGTTTCAGTGTTCCATATAAAGGGTCTGATGAGTAACATTGTAAATGTCTTAGGTTAAAACAGAACACTTCTATCTTGAGCTTTGTGCCATGCAACACCATTCGGGTTGCTTTTGGCATAGCTCATTCATAACTTATTTCTTCCACATGGATAAGGAGGTTTTGTGCCCTTATGGATAAAACTGGTTCTTTAAAAAGGGGATGCTCTAGTCATTTTCAAATTATAAAAGGGTAGTGCTCCATGTTTTAAAATACCTTATAGGGGGCTAATGGTCATGAAAAAAATGTTTTGTATTAATTTTGGAGGGTATTATAGGAATTTTCTGAATTTCATCAAAGTTGGATTTTTGTGCCCATGCGCTTCTAAAGCTCCAACATGAAAAGACTAATCAAGTGATTAAAAAGGGGACTCTCATCTCATCTTTTCATCTTTTTCTGCCCCAAAGAAGGGGAAAGGGCCTTGTTTTCTGGAGTATTTTCATTGGGGTTCCATTTAAGAGGTTGGCACTACAAAAGCTCAGTGTGATTGGATTTTCTTCTAGCATCTTAGCTTGTAGAGTATTTTCTGACTGTAGCTGATTTCTTTCCCAATTCCCATTGTTCATGGGACACTCCAAATTACTCAATTTCAATCATCTAATCAAATTGAACTTTGGTTAGGTAATCTCTTGAGTGGAAATTATTAAGTGGTGGATCCTAATAAATCTTGATTACTGGCAGAGTCTCTAGCTGAAACTTTCCCATTCCAGATTGAGCATTTTTGGAAAATTACTCCCCCCCACTGCATGCTTGTCCCATGTGATGAACATGGCCCTAGGAGCCTTAAGAGTTCCCTTTCAGATCTGCTGTTATTCACCAGTAGATTCTTGAATTGCGTACACCAATTCAGAGTTTTCAAATCAATGCATAGGTAAGGCCTCTGTACCATCAGCATCAAGAGGTAAGATGAGGACACACAGAAGACAAAGGTCTATAATGGCAGCTGCTCTTTCCTCTTCCATTTTCACTAAATTCCTGAAATTGACTCTTCTGCCTTGTGAACAACATCCAACCCAAATCAACACTTCAAGTGTAATTAAGTACTAACAAGATACATCTCCTTCTTTTGGTGGGAAGAGAGGAGTTCCCAGCATTTCACGTAAGAGTGAATAATGCCAGGGTGACCAAACTGTAGAATCTGATACAAACTGATGAAACTGAAAGAGATGGGAAACATCAAACAACTATTATCAAAACTACATTTAGTACATGGAAAATATCCTTTCACAATTCTTATCTTGTTGTGTAGTTATGGGAATCGGGGAATCTCTAATTCTTACAACATTTTCAAGAGAAAGACAAATAACTAACCTAAACTTCTAATCTTCTGTAGACAAGATTCTTGGAAAGTTGAACTAACATGAGACCTTTCATGCTTCAAATAAAGAATTGAAGCAAATTGCACTAGGAACCCACTTACCTAAGTGACCTGTTTATCGGATTGTTTCTATCTGATTGAAAACCAGTTTAGATTTAAAACAAAATTTTGGTTTCCTTGTCTTATTTTCACATAAATGCTCCTTGCTTTTCTATGGTCGGACTGGACCAAACTTGCTTAGTGACTCTGGTTTCAACTTTCAAGGCTTGGTCAAAATTTCAGTCACTGCTGACCTAGTTAAGGGGCAGGCTTTCTCTAGAAAATATCCTAAAAAATCAACCCAGTTAGGTGGTTCTAATTATTTTATCAAGTATATTCCTTGGGATGCTCAACATCATTGGCAAACTGAAATTCCAGTCAAAGAAATTTCCTACCAGGGAACTGCTGACTGGTTGTTCTTCTTGCAAGGCAATAACAGTGATCATATTTTATGGTAGAAGCCATTAAAATTGAAGGCATATGAGTACTGGGCCCAGCCCTACGAAAAACTGGTACATTATTTATATCCAATTCTGAACAGGCCCCATTCAAGGCAGAAAGAACGTAGGGGAGAGTGATCTTTAGAGCCATTAGAGCCACTCATCTCCACTGAACTACAAAGGCACATTGCACGGGGATAGCGAGTTGCTAACTGGTAATGCCTCTCTCTCTCTCTCCTTCCTCACACCCAACAACAGATGAAAACCTGGTTGTTAGGAAAAAGTCCTTTATTATAGAATAAAGTGGCTACACCTTATTCTTTTAGAGTGGCTACACCTATAATACAATTGAAAAGCAGGAAAAGTAAATCCAGTGGCTACACCTCTGAGGAGGTTTTTCTTTTAGAGTGCTCAAAATTTGTTCTAATAAAAAAGATTAGAAGCAAGATGAGATAGTTTTACTTCAACATTAGCAATTCTAAGGATACCCTTAATAGATTTTACCACACACAGAGAGAGAGAGAGGGGAGGGGGGGGGGGGGGATACAAGTGAAACTTGAATATACATTTCTTTGTAATGAACAACTGTGATAGATATCTTCACAGACAAGAGAGGTACATGCCCTAAGATAAGATTCCCATCCTGCAACAAGGGCAATGAGAATTGTTCTCAAGCCATGGCTCCAAACATCTCGAATGGAATCTATGTGCACAAGGAAGATGAACAAGGGTCTGACCAGCCATGAAAGCCTCTAAGCACACTACACACTGGTCTTGTTCTGAGGATTTCCATCCCAACATTGCCCAAATGAATCTCTTTCTCGAGTGGCCTGTCTTCAATCCAAACCTTTCTGTTTGCATACTTTCAAATATAACAGAGTGTAAACCATGGCCACCATCCTCACACTTCAAGCTCCCTTTACTGTCATGCCTGCATTTAGCATATAAACAACAAACTGGAGGTGGTGAGTAGCTTTTATTGTTTATCAATGCAGATTCAGAAATCAGAACCACTGATACTGAGGCCTCAGAATTTTTACCATGTTTGCTTGAACATTAATTACCTTTTTCTTTCTGGTTTTCTTGGGTTTCTCAACTTCTTATCCAATCTCTCCTTGGCTTCTCTAGCCACTCCCTCGAGCTTCTCATCTAAAAGACTCTGGTTCGACTTGGTTCTTTGCTGGGGTTGAGTTCAAATCATTTGAAGCACTTAGATAAACTGAAATCTCAACCAACTAACAAAGAAAAACAAAAATAAGTACCAGAGAAGAGCTTGAATTGAGATGGGTTTCATGGCTGCTTGTGTATAGACAGAAAGACGTGCGCCTCGTCCGGTTGTGTCCAGCTATGCCTAGTGGCTCCGCCGAGCTTCCTCCTTGATGGAATCGCTTCCTTCGAGCACATTCAACGCCAGGAAGCATTCCGGCCATTGGCACAAGCAACCCAAACAGATGATTTTACACAAAGAAAGAATTATGTATATATAGATAAGAAAGAAACCACTTTAATGTTTCGTATCTGATAGTTCTTATATTGTCTGATTTCTTTCTCCTAAAAAGGCTGTTCCCCAATGGCAGTTGTGAGTTGTGAACAACACAGTGAAGCATAAACATAGATTATGTAGGGGATATTAGGGTGAGGACATGGTTTATTCGGTTAAAAATCAAACCGAATAACTCCAAATTTTAAATGAAAAATTAAATCGATCGAATAGACCAAAATTTTAAATGAAAAATCAAACCAAAATATAAAATTTCAGTTCGATTTTTGATTACTTCCATTAAAACCAAATGTTATCATTATATATATTTTAATATATATATATATATTATAGATATTATAAATGTATTATATATATTATATAAAATAAAGTTTGGTTAACTCGATATTTTAGATCAATTGAATTTCCAAACCTAAAAACTCAAATTTTATAAAACAAAAAAAGCTAAAACTGAAATTTTTTAATTCGGTTTAATTAACCAAACAATGCTCACCCCTAGGCCATAAGAGTCTTCGAATCCAGATCCACGTCCATGGTATGTATTTAGCACGGTTCAAAGTATCAACATATCTCTATGGAAGAGGCGTATAAGTACTTTGAACGATACGTTATGCCTGATACGAGATATATATTATATCAAAATTTTGATCCTTAGGTTCAGTTTGGAAGGAATACAAATACAGATATGTAGAGTGCAAAACCTTATATTTTGTATGTGCTTGCACTCTACATATTTGCATTTATAATCCTTTCAAATTTAGCTTTAGTGCCTAGGAATGTAATTAGATCCAATAAGGTAGGGGCTATTGGATATATAATATTTATATAAGGACAAATAAAAAAGAAGAATAAAATAGGATTGTGATGTTGATGGTGCCAAAAAAGAATGAAATAGAAAGAAATGATCTAGAAGGTTCATAATTTAACAATGGATTTGATAAAGAACAAAAGGAATGGCAAAACAGGATTCATTTAGCCGATCCCATATAGTTGTGATAAGACTTGATTAAAGATAATAATGATGTAACATTGAAGGGAACGCCAAAGTAGGAATCATGTAATTGACCCCATATGGTTCCGATTTTGTCCACACATCATCCTTACAGTCCTTTGCAGCTATGCATTGGAAACATCTCCATATTTGCATGTTTTTATTGATGGGGAGATATTCCCAAATCCCAATGCACAGCTTTTAAGGGCTGTGAGGACAGTTTTGTTAGAGCAAAATCCAAATTCCTATAAAGTTGTGATGAATCTGAATTTCCTCCTCATAGAATGGTCCTCACAACACTTGCAGCTGTGCATTGAAAACATCTCCCATGAATGAAAACGGAAAATGTTCCCGATGTGTGGCTGTAACGTAGTGTGAGGTGGGTGTAGATACCATTCTACGAGGAAATCCAAACCCAGTGGGGAAAAAGCTTAAAAGATGAAGATGATAAGATGAGACATGTAGACTTACCAGATTCTTTCCACACTCCTGCTCCTACTTATCATCCACCAGCTAGCCTTGATTTAGTATTGGCCATGGAATAGTTCCTGATTCAATCTTCTTTGTGGATCATTGGAATTGCAACAACTAGTGCTTTTTTTTTAATGTTTTGATCAAATACTACTGATGGTTGAGGAAAGGTAAAAGAAGATTTCTATCATTGATCTGATAACTTTTCCTGCACAAGGGGTGGTGTCTTAGTATTTTAGGCTAACCTCTGCATGATCTCCAAAGCCTTTCTATTACTGAATTGGACTGGTAATCATGATTGTAATTGTAGCCATTCTAATCTCTCTCTCTCTAGGTGCGTGTATGTAGGGATTCATGTCAGCCATGGGCTTAACCTAGGCTCAGACCCGGAGGCTGGTCCTTAGTCCTAAATGGGAATATGGGGTATACATGAGAGGTCCATGGCCTAGATGGGGTATGCCACATTTTGCTATCTTTACTCCATCAAGCTGTTGAATGGTCCTCAGCCTAAACTCTAAAATTGACAGGTGTCTCAATCCAAGTCATTGATCATGTCTTGTTGATTGGCTCTCAGTTCTCTTCAACTTTAATCAGCAGTTGGGCAAGAGCCAACTCAAATTGGAATTGAGAAGGGTACATTGATTCTAAGAATGTAGGAATAGGATTATAGTTTATAGCTTCATACACCACCAAACTAGAGACATTTGTTGAGGTTAGGGAGCTTAAAGCCTGCTGGTTCATCCAAAATCTGGCCAAAATCCATGAAGTTTACTTCGATCATTTAGCCATTAGAACTATTCCCAAATTTTGAACATTTTACTCTTCCTTGTTTATTGGAATTATCCAAGTTATATAACTTGACAATTCTCAGTTTCAGCTGAGTTGTTGTGTTTTGAGGGGCTCATGGCCTCGTGTACTTTCAATGTTAACCTCAATATAAATTTGTTTATAAAGTTCAAAGTATCGACATATATCAGTTTATATCGGTTGATATATATTATCCAAAGAGCTCTCCTCAGGATTCTGACCGATTCAGGGGGTGGAGAAGATCTAAACCAGCCCTCCTGAACCTGTTTTGAAAAAAAAATAAATAAAAAAAAAAGTAAAAACAAATATCGATATTGCCCTATACACCCCTATCGGCATATCGATATTTTGAACCTTATTGGTTTCAAGTAATCTCGTACTCTATTGACAGGAATACGTATTGTTCAATAGTGAGAATAGATCCTCTATTCCTTCTCTTGAGGGTAGCAATTGTTATCAGATCTCTTCCAACTTCCCACTTCATGATGGGCTAGATAGTAGTTTCATCAATGTTTTCAGACCTGGACCAGACATAGAACGATTTTGGTGACTGGGTCACAGGATGGACGGTTCGATCGTCCAATTCAACTGTTCAACTCGTTCAAATAAAGAAGTGAAAAAAATAAAAAACGAAATGGTGTTACAGCATAGACTTGCAAATCACCGTAGACCTGATTGACCTGAGTTGGGTCTTAACTAAGTCAGCCCAATTCAATTCAAAATAGAACATTTTAAAATATTAATTTATAAAAGGGCAAATTTTTTTAGCTAATTAATTAATTATACCTTTATTAATTAACTGTTATCGTGCACCATCCTAATGTTTCTGACAATTGTCATTGCCATGGACGGAAAATAAGATTTTCCCTCCCCTATTCTTCAAATTTTCAAAATAAAATGGAACAGATGAAAAATTTTAGGAACCAGAGCCTAGAATACCAAGAGCGGAGCGGTTGATTGCCACTGGGATCGGAGCTTATAACTATCCACCGCCTTCACCAAGTTTCAGATTAGACCAGAGAATGAGTCGGGGACCAACTTTTCCCCTTGCCGGAGCTAACGGAGAACGGAGAAATAACTCCCTGCGCAGACAAACAATGAGCGGTTTACTTGTGGGTTCATCGAGACTTCTCATGACCAAGACCTTTTCAAACCCTGTCACGAGATCTGGGATGAGGAACCGACGACGATTCTGTTGAGAAGGAGCCACCAAATGTTGTTAGAGGGCAAAGTCCAAAACCCCAAACAGAAAGCCCCAAAATGGAAATCCAAATTTGGGTTTCCCAGACCGTCGACGTCACAATAGTTTTGTTCAAGAGCTTCTGTCGTAATTGGACATTCTGAAAAACAAGGCGAAACAGGTCATCGAGGGTTCGCAGCAAGGGACGCTTTGCTGCCAGGCAACCATGTAGCAAAAAATCGTCTGATGGTTCCAATTACTCTACTAGCTTGCAGGGGAGGTGGAGAGGGAGAACGAAGAGGAGAAGGGGCGGAGGAAGAAGAAGATCACCGCCGCTGTCGGAAGTTGCAACGGCGGGGTGATTTTGATCGACTCTCCCTTATTATGTCATTGGCCAGCTAGGTGTTTTCCCTCATCTGCTTCAACCTCTCTGTCGCCAGCCCAAGTGTCAGTTTGTGGCATCTCCATCGGTACTTGAATTCATTGATGCAAAGGAGGGTCTGAGCCATGGAGACATAGAAGATGAGGTGGGCAAGCGTGAGGAGCCCTATCCGGACCCAGCAGTGCCGGTGCCAACATTGGAGGCGGGGTGACTGGACCTGGCGGCGAACACTAGATTGAGGAAGATGAAGAAGAATTGGAAGATCTTCCAAAGCTCCTTCTTTTGTAGATTGACAGCTCGTTTCTTCTCCAGGGTTTTCTAAAAGTGGAGCTTCACTTTATTAATTGCAAATGCGGGTAGGCTCCAGCGGCCATGATCCTCTTCCGAGTTCCAACATCTTTGTGTCGACAGAACAGAAGTGGTTTTTTTATTGTATAAATGGGTAATATGAAGAAGAAAAAGAAGAGCTTCCAAAGCTCCTTCTTTTTGTAGATCGACGGACCGTTTCTTCTCTAGGGTTTTCTCAAAGTGGAGCTGCACTTTATCATTTGCTGATGCTTCTGCAAATGCGGGTGGCTCGGGGGATTTGGAGATGTAGAAATGGGTTTTGTCTTAGACGTACATGGAGGCGGATCCAACGGAACGGAGATGGTGGTGGAGGTGGAGGTGGAGATGGAAACGGAAATGGAGGCAGAGGCGAAGCTCGATTTGCAGTTGCTGAAAGGAAGAAGACGAAGGGTAGAGTTAGTTAATTGTTATACGTCACTTGGTGTCATCTGTGTAGTGATTTTGACGGAATATTAACGCCCCTAACGATAGGGGTATAGTACAGTTTGTGAATCAGCTGAACAGAGTAGTTTAAGATTTTTTTTTTTATTTATGAAAAGAGAAATAATGTAAATATGATCTATACCCAAATGGAGACCCAGCGCCCAAATCCTCTCTCTCTCTTCAAATTTTTTTAATTCGAGAAAAATTTCTTAAATTATCATTATGGTTTAGTTAATTGATTAAATGTATTTTTACTGTTTGAAAATGGATTAACACTATTTCTACTGTTTCTAATAATTGACTAACTCTACCCTTATCGTTAATATCCATTAATATTTCGACAAAACTCATTCGCATGAAGAAAGATGTCTACCAACAGCAGTTCTTCCTTGTCACGAAACCTC